AAAAACACAGCGAAGTGAAAGACTAAATTTGTCGTCGAATCGTTGGAAGACTCCCCTCTCCTATACGGTTGTTATGCCTACTTTATTATAATTAGAAGTACAATTAATAAGGCCTCCAGGAAAAAGTATATTTTCAAAATATTTTTATTGTTTAGCTTTCGGGCACGAACAGCCTTCTAAAGGAGAAAACTTGGTATAATAATTAGCCTCTCTCTTTGACCAGGATGACGGAGAAGATCTGTCATCGCTGATCCGAAAAATTGTCCGCGAGGAGATACAGCAAGCATTGCACTCTCCTCAAGAGGAGCCTAAAATCGCTGCCATTGAAGATTTAGTGAGGGAAGAGATTGTAAAGACCTTGGCGCCTATATCAAAACCTACAAAAGTCCCCCTCAAGCACCCAGGCCGGTATCAAATCCTAGATTCGAGGCTCAACCTAGAACTCCCCATCCTACAACTCAGTATCAGAAACAAGGAAGAAGACACGACACCAATGAATGGCGGACAACTGAAAGAAGGCCAATCTGTTTCTACTGCGGACGCCCAGGTCACGTCGTCCGTTATTGCCGTGACAGGATGTGACTAAATTTGTCGTCGAATCGTTGGAAGACTCCCCTCTCCTATACGGTTGTTATGCCTACTTTATTATAATTAGAAGTACAATTAATAAGGCCTCCAGGAAAAAGTATCTTTTCAAAATATTTTTATTGTTTAGCTTTCGGGCACGAACAGCCTTCTAAAGGAGAAAACTTGGTATAATAATTCGCCAATAGAACACGAGTTAAATATAATCGGATACTATTTCACATAATTTTATATAAGGATGTCTTCTCTGAGAAGGTTAGAGTTCCTGTAGGTAGAGCAGGCGGTGTGTCCCTTGTTCTGTACGTCAAGCCATTAGAGCAGCGGCGCAGTGAGAGTGAAGTTTCAACCATCGAGATAAGATCGGACGGCCTTGTAGCCAATCAGGTCAATGGGCTCGGGGAGAGGGCGGGGCTGCTAAGGAGGAAGGGTTTGTTGGCTGTCCCTTCAATCACTGTAGAGTCCAATACAGAGAGTTGAACCACAATACATTGTAAATACGTGTGAAAACACTGTAAATGAGATGAGAACCTCTTCATATTCATCAATTAACTATAAGGCAATAACGCGCCATCTATATAAAAGAAATGAAAGTACTAAAAAGCACGATTTTTTTTTTACACATGAAATAAACTTTTACTGTCCTTATACTGCGAAAATATGTGTAAATCTACTGTTCCTAAAAGTTTAGTGTCTATAGTTTCTTGAATACCATTTCGAAGATTTCATCCTTCAATGTAGCATATATAAACAGAATCGTCCAATGTGTATAAGAGCTCTAAGAAACCGGTCTGGTAGATTAAATGGGAGAAACCACTAGGAGGGTTCAACACTGATGAGCCAAGCCCTTCCAAAATTATTTCCCCGCAGTAAGGATAGTAGAGAGATTTGTTTTATATGTAAAAGAAACATTCGTGCTTTCTTTTCTTATATGTAAATATTGTGACCTGGGTTGCTCTTCTTGAGCGGCACCTAATAAAGTTGTTTTGAACCGGATTATTATTTATATACTAGAGCAGGGGTTTTCAACCGTTGGCGCCAGTCTGCTGAAAAGTTTGACCAGTCCTTGGAGATTTTTATTTGCCCTCGTCAAATTTTCTTATTAACATAAATAATTTTATTCACGATCGAACGTTGTACTGTACGTATTACATCCCAAACACGATACGACACCAGCCATCTCTGTCTTGAGCTCGATGTACCATCTTGGCGACCGTTAAACCAGTGAGTTCCTTTAATTGGCCCACGAAGCGTGTCGGCGGGCGTCCAGGTATGCGTCGCCCAGACGTCTTTCCAGTCAGTATGGTGTACTCCATCCCTCTGCGTCGCGCGATGTGACCGAAGAATCTCAAACAATTCCGTTGTACACGCCGCAGAAGTCAGTCATCTTCCGAAATCGATAGTTTTGATAGTTTTATTTTTTATTAAAATAATAATAATAACACTAGTACACGAAATGAAAAAAACATTTCTCCTCCTCAAATAAACAAAGCACTTTCTGGGTTAACTTTTTGTGCTGATTAACGTGGTATCAATATTTTTTTTCCGATTTGCTCAATTTCTCAAGTTATGGATATAATGCCTTTTACCCATGATATTCATCTATTGGAGGAAATGTTATGACATTAAACTTATTACTATATAAATAAATGCGCCAAAGATAGTGCAAATGAAGAAACAATATTATACATATATGCATGTGTATATATTTTACTCCAATAACTGCGCTTAGATATATATATTTATCAAACTACTTACTCTATATCCATATTTTCATTTATAAAAAAAATGTAATTTATTTCCCTTTCTTTTTTCAAAATTATCAAGAAAATTGTTTTTATATAACTTTCCAACAATGGTGGGTATAATTCAACAATTCAAAGATTTTCTTAAGAGTCGAATAGGTTTCTTTCATTTGAGTTGAATAGGCAACTGGTATGGAGAGAAGGTAATACACTACCATAGTGCAGCAAACAAGCCTTCAAACTTTGTTTAGAGGAATCAATAAAGAGTCTATGCTCGGTAGCATTGTAATTAATTTGCAGAGTTTAAAAAACGCCTTCAATATCATTGCAGTACACTAATCCTTGTTCTTCAGAAAAAAAATGACAAAAAAAACAATGTTCCCTATTACAATAGACAGATATTTTGGTTTGTGGTAACAAGAGGTTCCTTTGCTTTAATCTTGATCCAAGGATTTCTGCTGCTTCTTTTGATAGCCCTAGATCCCCAACTAGATCATTTAATAATGCCTGATCAAATAAATGTGGAATGCCACTTTCATTTGAAATAAATTCAGGGTCTTCTAATTGATGATCATCTGCAAATGCTGTGGGCTGATCATCCTTTTTGATATAGGATTCTTGAACCATTTTAGGGATCGGTATGGGATTCTCGATATCATGAGGAATAGGTTGCCTAGCTGATGGTATATCAGGATAAAAGTTAGTTTGCTTCTTTTTGTTATTAAGGCCTGTGATTTTGCAGGCACAGAAATAACAATCGTCATGGTAATTTTTTGGTTCTCACCAAACCATTGGTACACCAAAGGGCATACATTTTGATTTCCCCGATTTCCATTGAAAAAGCCCTTGATAGCACGTTCCGCACACACTATGGGGGCATCACCACTTGTCTTGATCACCTAAGGCCACACCAAAATATTCTTTATAGCATTCTTTTATCTTTGGGGTGATACGTTTCCTCTGTTTGGGAATTGTAAATTTTCCACAAATGTAGCAGAACATTTCTGGATTAGCTTTTCATTTACGCGGCATTATTTATATATTTAAAAATATTTATGAAAATAAATGTATTGTTAAACATTTTCTTGATATAAAATTGCAATGGTATGCATTTCATCTGAATGATGATTAAATTTTATGCTTACAAAATTATAATGCTAAAAATTATATATGATATTTTTAATTAAACGCCTTATTTTTAGATTTAGAAGATTAATTATTCTGTAGTTATATAATACCTAGTAAAAAGTTGTTCTACTGTTTGTTAAAAAACAACAGCGCCGGTCCGGATTTTTGCTTCCACAAATTTTACGGTCCGAGGGCCAACAAGGCCGAGAATGTCGTCCTAGAACACTCCGCTACGGAGAAATTCCATCATTATGGAACCAAATACTGAACTTGCTTATTTCCTTAATGTTTGAAAAATTATTTAAAGGAGAAGTAGAATCAGAGAAGAACCAATCGGCGAACGAAAGCAAAACAGAAGCAATATATCCATCTAAACCGATTAAAGAGTATGCTATATATGGAATTATGGTCAAATTACAGATCTAGTTTAAAAAAAGGGATGTAGATACTAAGATCGGTGATCTACCAACAAATTGCCTAGTTTGGAAATAGGATACAACAGATATCAGGGGTTTTATTCAATTACCTATAGGAGTTACAATAATTCATTTTCAGCTCTTCAAAGCATTGAGGCGAGAAGTGTGTTGTATCATGATGATAATAAAAAGTGTTATATTCACATAGATATAAAATATAATAAACTAGCCGAATGACCCGGGCAACGCCCGGGTTTTACCCGATTAAATGCTTTTATTCAAATACTATTCGTTACAATTATAAATTAGCGCCGTGGATGTCATTATTGAATTCTCTAGACGAATGACCCGGCTTCGCCCGAGAATTACCCCGAGTGCAATTTCCTTCATACTGAAAGTAAATCAATAATAAATAGTAGAAGTGCCATAGAATAGCAACACAGAAGTAACACATAAACCACAGGCAAAAAGTCTGTGTGATGGCAAAAATTGTATTATATTAGTGTTTAGGTATTTGATTTAATTATTTTTTGCAATGCATTTAGTTGTTTCAAAATCAATATAGTTTAAATAGATGGCAGCTTTTCCACCCAACCCCCGAGGTACCCGCCCCAGCGCACTAACCCTTGAAATTGCCTGAGTTGAGTGAGTGACTACGATGAATCTTGACTGCGATGCCCATCTTCTCAGTAAAAATAAAAAAAAATAGGTTTATAAAAAATATTAATCCAAAATAATGGCATGTAAATATTTTTCTGTAAAAAATAAAAAGCACATGGAAATTAGGCAGACATATGTGTTTTCTAGTGACTGCGACTGCATTCTAGACGATTTAAAAAAGATAGATAAAAAACAAAGGCCAGAAAAAAATAATAAAAATAAGAAAGTGATTATTTACATACAGTAACGCTAAATTTGTAAAGTTTTTTTTTTTTTTGCGTTGTGTGCACTAACTTGACACGTGACTTAACGTGACAGAATTGATGACTCTGATACTTGTATATATGATTATGTTAGCATAATGAATTAGTCAGTATTTCCAAGGTCTCCAGCGAAGAGGTGTGAATTGACTTTTTGAAAATATACATAATTATAAAGATAGAAGCTTCTATAGAAATAACTAAAATAAGCCGAAATAGTTCGGTTTGGAGAGCGTTAGACTGAAGATCTAAAGGTCCCTGGTTCAATCTTTTATTACCTCGACGTTTCGACAAAAATCTTTTGTCCTCGTCAGGAGCAAACAAAAATTAAACATTCAGCAAGGCGTTAAAAATCTTTCTCTCTCTCCTTAAGATTTTAACGCCTTGCTGAATGTTTAATTTTTGTTTGCTCCTGACGAGGACAAAAGATTTTTGTCGAAACGTCGAGGTAATAAAAAGATTTACTGGCCGAAGTATCTTCATTTTCAAGAAATAAGTTTGATTGTTTTCAATAACAATCAGATATGGGAATAGCACAGTCTTGTGTTCTGGTTCTCAACAATCTGTATTGAGTTTCTTTAATCCCTTTAGCTGAAAACAGGTTTTTGATTTCAACACATCTATAAAGACAGTTAGCATCTTAAATATTATTGATTTCAATAATATATTTATTTATAGATAGTAATATCATTTTATTTGCGATCGAACGTTGTAGCCCACTATACGCACTATATTCCAAACACGATGCGACGCAAGCCAACTCTGTCTTGAGCTCGATGTATCATCTCGGCGAACGTTAAGCCAGTGATTTTTATACATATAGATCTCTATTTGAATTGTCTAGAAATCTCGCACAATTCAAGGTACTTTCCAAACCCCTCACTATATAATTTAAAATAGTTATCCAAATCTTTGTTTGCGTGTAATATTTGATTAATTTTTATGTGTGTTTCAGCATTATCTGCCTACTCCCTTTTTGTGAATAGTTTTTATTTTATGATTTTTATTGGCATTTTCGAGTCAAAATTCAACAAACATTCATTAATTTTTTTTTAATTTTTAACATACGATTTTTCAAAATTGAATTTTTAGTGGCCTCATCCTATGAAGAATAAGGCTCATCAAATTTACCGAGGTGGTGGTGTAGGAAGAAACAAAGGTGATTCTACCTGCGTTAGAAGGATACCTGTAGATCAGTTTGCGGGAGACCGCACGTTTGGACCAGGGTTTCTACTCCGGCAGGCGTGGGAGGGGGCCTGTCCGGGGGAGGGGTGTGTCAGCTCCTCTCACACCACCACCTGAGACGAGGCATCTACTTTCCAAAAAGAATTGAGCTGACGATATCTCTACAGATGTTGAAGCCACAGTTCTACTCAATATACGCCCCGAGTCGTCCCAAAGAGCATCTGAAAGAATTGGCCAAATTTTGCCGCTGTGGTATTGCCCTGATTAATAACTTGAATCTCCTCACCTACTGCCTCTGAAATAGCTCCCAAATCTTTCAGTCATGGTGTCAGCCTGATTAATTATTCAGCTATATAATGAACAATATCAGAAACTGGTGCTCAAATCTTTCAGTCGTGCCAATATCAAATTCTCGAGTATGGGCAACGTATGGCTTCTAAACCTAGCGTACAATACTTGCAACCATGAAGATTTCCTGATCCATTTATTTCTTTAACATTCGCAACGTGCTGTTAAATTTACCTGCGAGATCTAATTGCTATGGTGCAGATTTCGATTAATTTTTAAGCCTTTGCAATGTGAACTCTGAAACCAGAATCCAAATTTCTCAGCCATTGTGTGCCTTTATACATTCCTTCAAAATATGAAACGTTCTGCAGCTATTAATATATACGATGGCCAGATTTTGAAGCTTTGGTGCCATCCTTTTCTTTTTCTACAGCTTTCTCAAAATGCACCTTCTAAAATTACTCACCAGATCTTCTAACCGTGGTTCTCACTCTACAATAAAATTGTCTTAGATTATTACAAAGTGTGCGGCCTCTAAAATTAAAAGCCAGATTTTAAAGTTGTACTTTCGCCTTGATAATATTTTTAAATACTCACAAATTAAGGTCTCTAAAATATTCTACCAGATCTAAAATCCTTGGTGCCACCTTGATGCATTTGTTTAGCATTGCAAAAAAGGGTTTCTAAATTCAGCTCTAAAAATTTCAGCTGTGGTGCCATATGGTTTAATTTTATGAATTTTTTTTAAAGTGAGGTCTCTAAAACCAGCATATAAATCTTGCTACCGTGGCTCTGCAATGATCAATTCCTTGACTTACCAAACTTGCTTCTTTTAAGTTCAACTACCAGATATTTTATTTGTGATGCCAAGATTATCAATACATTTAACCATTGCAACATGCTTCATCCAAATACAATCTTCATATCTAGCCACCCTGATCAAATCCATGAAATTTCTAAATTCTCCGACTCCAAATCCAGCCATCAGAACTTGTCGCCATGGTACCAGCCTGTACAAGCATTTTACCTTTGCAATGTTCAATCTTTCAAACAGTTGGCCATATCTGCCATCGCGGTGCAATTCTGATTGCTTCTGTTACAATAATAAACGTGATGCCTCTAAATCTAGCGGCCAATTCTTGCAACTATAGTACAGTCCTAATTCGTTAGCCGTCGCAAATTGTGTCCTCTACAACAAATGACCTTATCTCGCAGCCTTGATAGAGCATTGATTAATTCCTTGAGAAGTCGCATTGTGCTTCTTTTAAATTAATAGCCAGATCTTGCAGCAGTGGTGAACACTTGATCAACCCTAGTGTTCTTTCAAAATGAGGCATCTAAAACCAACATCTAAATTTTGAAGTCATAAATCTTGCCTGATGATATCCTTAAGCCTATGCAACATGCGCCCTCTATAACACTGCCAGCCAGATCTTCTATCCGAGGAACCACCCTGATCAATTTCTTGAGTCATCGATATCCCAGCCTCTGAACCAGTAGACAGATCTTTCAGTGATGGTTCCACCTAATAATTTCCTCGGTATATTTCGCAACATACAGCCTATAAATTAGTTGCCAGATTTTTTTAACTGTGATGTCTCATTTTCATTTCCCTGAGCCTTCACAACCTATATTCTACTAAATTCAACCGCTAGATCTTCCAGTCACATGCACACCCATCTGGTGATAATCTGATTATTACATTGAGCCTTTGAAAATGCTCTATCTAACACCACCCCCCATATCTTACAGACATGGTGACATTTTGTGCAATTCTTCGAGCTTTTACAATATACAGTCTAAAAAATAAAGATCATATTTTGTTTCTTAATCTTTGGTTCGATCAATTCCTTGGGTATTGTGAAGTGATCATTAATACGAATGCTATTCAGGATATTCAGAAAAACTCGGGTTTCATTCTTCCCCCTTTTTATGTATGGTATAGTTTTTTTTTCATTGTACCCAGACCTTTTTCAAAGAGACAAGGGTCGCCTCTCCCGTCAAAATAAACGTCAAATACAGACGCCATCTATTGACCGTCGCCGCAAACTAGCGGCCTCGGGTCGGTGACAAAGCCACAACACCAGCTTTGGCGAACTGAAAAGCGTCCACCTAGAAACCATGGTTTCGGGCTAATGGCCCTAGTCAGCCAAGGGCGGACTTTATTTCATGAGATCCACACGGGATCTAATGGAAACTTGACAATCTGACAAAGAGGTTTTTAGCTGGCAAAGTGGCTGGGCCAAATGGAATAAAGTCCGCCCTAGGGTGACGAGAGCCATTAGCCCGAAACATGGTTTCTTGGTGGACGCTTTTCAGTTTGCCAAAGCTGGTGTTGTGGCTTTATCACCGACCCGAGGCCGCTAGCTTGCGGTGACGGTCAATATATGGCGTCTGTATTTGACGTCTATTTTGACGGGAGGGGCGACCCTTGTCTCTTTAGATAATATCCTCCCGGCAAAATTTCCAGGCGTTATTTGTATTCTTTTTCTGGTCAGTATGGTAAAAAAAATAGCACGTGCGAGTTCATAACTTTATTTTTATTAGAGGTCTTTATTAGAGTTGTGTGAAATGTAAAGAAGACAATAAGTGGATATTTCTTGAACCTCTGCCGTCAGAGGGATCCTTGGTGCCGTGGATATCACTCTTGCGATGCGTCGCACTTCACACTGTAAACATATAGCTTGGGCAGCACCGACTTGTAGACTGCTCCGCTGCTGAATATATTACACTCGTTTCAGTGTCCACAGAGCAATCCTCTTCGTACAATCAGTCCTCAACTCGGTCTGGCCAAGCTCAAGCTGAGGTATAGTGTTGGCAAGACCTTACATAGAGTATCTCTGTTCAGCTACAGATAATGGAGATTCTCTATTGTAAAGTAGCAAATGATACAGGATATAGAACAGCGATGGCTGCCAGTAGGGGCATATGATGGAAGTAAAGGATATCAGAATAGTTCTTCTAAATAAAATTGTATATTTACCTGTAGATGGTCCATTAATTGTCCTATTACTGCGATGGGTATAAAGATGGAAACTGCCATTTTAATTACTCAGGTGCTTTTTGATAACGTGTGATGAAGAAAAATAAGAGGAAATCTAGACAATGCAGGATTGATAGGTCTAGAACCAATACAAATAGTCATGGGGAGACTGATCTTAATAAATATATAATAAGACGAAAATTTTTAAAACATTTACAAAAGAGAAAAAGGCATTTCTTGAGCGTGCAACTAAAGTTGCTGATGGCTTGCAACATCTACCGGAATAAATATCAACTAATCGTTGATTTTTAATTATTCCAGAATTATCCAAATATTGTTTCTTGATTACCTTTTTTCTTAATTTATCCACCTGATTCAAGTCATTCACTTTTGTACTAGGGGGGTCGGTGGAAGGATGGTTTAAACCGTTTTGTTTTCGACCACTACGACCCGGGTTCGATTCCCGCATGGACACTTTTTTTTCTGTTTAAAAAAAAATGCTCCAATGGCCCCCCGATTCTTGCAAAAGTCCAACCCCACCAGCGAGTGCAAGTAACCAAACGGGACTCTGGCACATTTGTAAGTGCAAAGTCGAACTGCTTTCACATGTGTGGACATGTGGTGCGCTTACAGTAAAAAGCAGTCGCTAACTACCCATCATGATTATCATGGCCTGTACCACGTGTACTAGGGATAAGCAAAAAAAAAAAAACGTTTGTACTATTTTTAAATAATTTGACAAAAATATCAATTGATAAGGCAATAGCAATCAAAAGAGTGATTTGACAAAATCGCCTCCAAGGCCCACTACTGATGAACACTGTACACAACTATATT